TGTTGTGTCTGCACACTGTCTAATATACATATGCAGGATTTAGCTAGGGGGTTTTATATTGTATATATAAAGGGCTAGCTAAATATACCATAAAGGTGTCGGGCTCATATATATATATATATATATGTCTGCTCTGGGGAGGGCGGCATTGTCCTCGGTTCCCAGGTGGCTTGGACAGGTCGAAGGCCACAGCAAATGCCAAGCCGGTGACCCTCAGAAAGATTCGGCTTTTCGGAAGTCTTTGAGATGAGTTGTCATGCAGGGGGCGGCTGCATAGATTTCCGGTAGTATTCCTTAGGGCACCCGAATCTAGTCATTGTATTATAAACCCCAACATCGTGTTGAAAGCATCCAGGCCCTACATCAGGAAAACGGATGTAGCTTGAGTGGCTTGCAGGATAAACAGTTTGATTAGGGTTTGGGATTGTGCCCGGCAGCATGCCGGCCACGTGATTGCCTCCTCGGGCTTCATCGTTTCGTGCAGCGGACGGCGAGGTGGGAATGCTATGAACATTCGCCCTGCGCACCCAGACTTCCACTTTCAAGTCTCATACCAAATGGGCCGTGTGATGATCTGGGCGCTGACGACCATCGAGCCGTCGATGACGCAAAAATAGTTCTAGACCGGACTAATGAAACAAAAGGCCTTACATCCGCTTCCCCCCCTTCTGGCGATCTCTCAACCGGCTTGGGAAACCAAGGGGGGCTTCTGCACGAATGGGCGGGTTGATAATTTGTTTTTCAAATTTTCGTTTCATTCAGCCATCGCCTTTGTTTCCCGGATTCAGCTTGTTCACAGCTGCATCCGTCAATGTAGATGTATTAGATGTTTCGAGATGTATGTCGGGTCGACATTGTTTGTCCATCACCTCCTCCTCCCTGCAGCACCATCAACATTGCCAGCACCATCGCCCTCAGAGTTGTCATTATGTTATTGTCGTCCTCGAGCTCAAGCTCATCCTGATCCTCGTGCGTATCTGCTCATGGAGTCCTGCCCAGCATCAGCACGCAGAGCATAGGAAGTGGTGGCTGACCCATCCACCTGCTGCGGTGGTGCCCTCCAGATTTTGGAGGCAGTGGGCTCGAAAAGCAGGTCCATTCCGAAACATTTGGTTGGACTTATCGGGTTCATTTCTGGGATCCTCTAACAATATAGAGGTCGGCTTAACAAGTAGTATTATTCGTTAGCATTCCATATTTTTGGGTTTAGGGGGTTAGGGTTCAGAGTTCATTGAGAAATCAAGCTCGCCATTGTCAAAGACATGTTTCAGGTTTATCGTCACGGGGATTTCGGCCGACAAGGTTGGTAGTTTTACGGTTGAGGGGCGGCCCCTCAAAATCCTCGGCCCACAAGCCACGAAACAATAGGTATGGACCTTGGGCTTTGGGTTTCATCCAAAGAGACATGCCGCAAACCCTGAAATTTAATTCGGTGCCCCAAGCCTTAAACCCTGATCCCCGGCTTGTCCTGAAGAACTAGGAGGCAAAACCCTGAAGCAGTGAGTGCTGAACCCCCTAACCCTACCCGAAACCCTCAGAACTTCCCTAAACCCTAAGGGCAAAAATAGAACAAAACCTAAACTCTAGAACCCTAAACCCTTAGAACTTCCCTAAACCCTGAACTCTAGAACCCTAAGCCCTAAAAACCCTTAGAACTTCCCTAAACCCTAAACTCTGAGAACCCTAAACCCTAAACTAAGAGAACCCAAGCTTCCAGAGATTCGCCGGGGAGGTCTCAAACGCGGCCGGTGCTCGAGCTGGGGGGTGGCACGGGGCCCAGTAAGGGTTCAGGGTTCAGGGTTTAGGACTTGGAAAGTTCTTACCCAAGAAAAGCAAAGCGCTTCGAAATGATAGAGCTTCGGGTTAAGGGTTTAGGGTTAGGGACTTGGGGTTTAGGGTGTGAGGTTTGGGCAGGGATTTATGCTCTAGGTTCTGTAGGGTTTAAAGCCTGTTCGGTCCAAGATCTTTACCAAAGAGAGCGAGAGAGAGAGAGAGAGAGAGAGCCCTTTATGGCTTTAGCCCATCGATCAGCTATGCTCGACTTTCACTCCCCGTGGCCCAACACAACGTTGGGGTGGGCCTGGCGCCCGGGGATGCTGACCCATCCCCATGCCCCGGAGAGAGAGAGAGAGAGAGAGAGAGAGCCATGAAGATGGCTTCGGAATGCATGATGCGTACAGCACCACAAAACCGCTGTAAGAAGACAAAAATGCTCTCTTAAACCCTAACATAGAAGTCTCAATAATTGTTGATCTTATTTTCTGGTAGTCCGTATTATCAAAACATAGACCCAAAACCTTAGTCCAAGTAGTAAGGCCCCTGTGTTGGGCCCGAGCAAAACATCCGAGTTGACCAACCTCTTGAGCTCAAAGTCGTTTTGAGCGGTCTCGGGGTCAGGTATTTGTTGGGGTTGCGGGTTTAGGGTTTTAGTGTGAAGCCCCACAACAAGAGTCGGAGAAACCCTAAACCCAAAACACCACCGTTAACCCTCATCTTCGTAACAGCAAGAGCGCTGTTACAGGCTTAACCCACGCAAACCCTACATCCCTTCTCTCTTGTTCGAGCCCCGTATATGCAAAGCTCCGGTCATTCGAGTCCAATGTCGAAGTATGAAGCCCCCCTCAAACCCTAAACCCCAAAGCCAAAAGTTCCGCACCAAAAACCCGTACAGCAACCTTTGAATGAACCCGTAAACCCTAAACCGTGAGCCCTGAACCTCCCAGTCGTGAGTGCTGCAGCCCATATAGGAACCCACAAACGAAACCGTTTACTATAGGGGCCTGCACAATTACCAACACTATTTTGGGGGTTCACAATTATTGCAGAATGTACCCCTAAACCCCCCTAAGCCCTAAACCCTAAACCTCTCTACCAATATATTTAAACCTTTAAGTCTTCGTGGCTCTTGATCAAAATTCGTGGCTCTTGATCAACACTCGCGGCTCTTGATCAAAACTCGTGGCTCTCCCAACCCAACCCAGCACTCCGGGACCCACGAACTCACACCCACCTTGACACAACTGATGCTCATGATGCTGGTGTCTGGTGGGCAAGTTTGTGGGTCCCGGACCGGGACCCACAAACTCACACCCACCTTACAACTGATGCTCATGATGCTTTTACTACGACGACGACGACTACTACTACTACTGCTACTACTACTACTACTACCCGAGTGAGCTACAGGTATCAGGATGTTGTATATGTGATATCCGTGAAGCGAAGGCATCGAGAGTCTCCGGCGTTTGTAATACAGTCAACTGTGGGAGCTTGTCTAGAGGAGGCCTGACTTTGTGCCGAGAGCTTGTATAGCCTACGTGTGATGTCCATCTAGCGAGGGCGTCGAGAATGTCTGGGCTTTTCGGAGCGAAAA